TTGAAAACCACCAAGATCCACCAAGCCCAAACCACGCTAAAGCACCTAGGTCCTCCAGTAGAGAGGTTGAATAAGGGTACCCTTTTTTCGGTAGTCCATTTTAGTGGGGAAACCCTCCCCCAAAGTAAAAGGGCACTACTGGGGGACCTAGCCACCAAAGAAAACCAATTTCACGTCCCCTTCTTTCCAGTGCCTTGGACCCGCGCAAATCGTTGCGGCCTTCTCATCACCATTTGGGGTACCTTCAGGCGGGGACGGCCTCATGGTCAATATTGACTCGCGCAGGTCTCACATCTTCAGAACCTGTTGGACAAATGAGCGATTAAGCCTGTTTCCAGCTTGAGTGAAACATGATATGGGACGATGTGACATACACCTATAGCCTAGAGGCACTTTTTCGGCATTTTGCGAGCAACAAAAACGCTCATTTCACCAAAAACGCTCAATTGGGAAAAACAAACTCAATCAGCAAAATGTTCTGGTGTGTGTGTGTGTGTGTCCGCAAATTTCCGCTCATGTCCCGCTGATTTCCGCTCATTTCCCGCTGATTTCCGCTCATTTTCTGGAGAAAACTTGCCAAATCAAGATTCCGCTCATTTCATCTCTTTCCGCTAAACATCTGAAACGAGCAAACATATTTAAAAAGTGACCACATGGAAGACCTAGGTAGATATTTGGTAACTGAGCGAGGTCAAAAACCCCCCGGACTTGAAACTACGTAGTATTCGGGAAGTATCGTTTTCAACACGTTGTTTCTCAAGGCCGCGAAAGGTTCGCGAACCAACACTTGTGAGGAGGAAGGTTGGTTACGAGCTTTGAACTCTGCTTAAGCCTTGCTTAGATCAACGACAAGCAACCCCTTGCCGCACACATGCAAAAGGCAAACCATTGGCCAAAAACACGAGAAACCGCGGCCCAAATTCCACTTCCTCGCTTCCGCGGGTCCGCGAAAGGCGGCCAAGCAAGTTTCAATCGGCCCATGTGCGCTTCCTGAAGATACACTTGCAGTTTTCCTGCACGCACAAAAGCAACAAACAGGCTTCAAACCCATCTGGGTGTAGCTCAAAATCAAACAATCGGAGGGGCAAACCGCAGGTTTTGGTCCATGTTTCAACTTGCCAGGGCAACCCAGTTTGGAAATTCCGGTTTTTTGAGCCACAGCCATTTCTCACTCCGCGAAAGCGGCGCGGAAGCGGCTCGGAAGCGGTTCCCCCCTCGCGAAAGCTCCGCGGAAGCCGATCTCGACGTTTCTCTGCGGCCAAGCGGGTCTAGAACGCTGCTTAAGCGGGCTCCCTAAACATTGGCGGGGAACCAGGAAAACCCTCTTGAAGGTGTCTCCTTTTTCAAGGTCGGACCCCCAAAATCATGGGTTGTGCTTTTGGTTTTGCTTTTGTTGTCCAACTGGTCGGTTTTCTTGGGCTGTCCTTTTGGTTTTCCGAAATGAAACCAACTCCAAAAACCACCGAGCCACCAACTGTAGGTTGCAGTCGTAGTTCAAAGCTGGTCTTCAGGATCATGTCCGAGCTTCCCCTCGGCGAGGAGAGGTGGGCGACAAAAAACAGCCAGTGGCAAAGCGGTACTCACTTCCTGAATGGATTTGCCAGAAAAAATCATTTTTTTCAATTTGTCCAGTGGATTTGCCAGGGAAAGTCAACAATTTCCCCAAAAGCTTCAAGTCCAGGAACTCAGGCAGTGAGCGTAAGATGCTTCGGTTCTTCTCAAGCATCGGTCATTTCAAGCACCAGCCGTCTTGCCTGGGTTTCGGGAGGTCTTCTAGAAAGAAGGATTCCTGGGTTCAGAATGGTTCAAAGTAGCCCTATGTGACCTAACCTTTGCCAAAGGCACCGAGAAATAAAAGGTCAACCTAAAACTAGGCCAAGTTGGAAAAAGGGAAAACTAAAAGGTCAGATCCGGTCGATTTGCCTCGCACAAGTGACCTAACCTTGCCCTCGACTTCCATTTGGTCAAGACCCCAGTAGTGAGAAGCTCCTTTCAAAACTAACAAGGAAACATCAAAACATATTCTTAGTACTCGGTTGCTCTCTGCTCCCCTGCTAAAAGTTTAACTCTTAGTGGTTTGATGGAAAGCCCATTAGTTAGCAAAAAGTTAAAGTCCTAACATCCAAGCAAAATGCATCAACGTTAAGCAAATGGAAGCCGATTTTTCGTTGCCCTCAACGTCCCCCCGGCCTGCGCCCAATGTATCGCCTCTGATAGGCGATTCGTCCGCTTGGAGGCCGATCGCTGGGCCACCAGCAACTGCAGCGAGGGGCGGGGCTTGGCCAACTCCTGGGCGGGGCTTAAGGGAAAATCCATGTTTCTAGGGGTGCCTTCCCCATTCTTTGCAGGGATCCTTCTTTGCAGAAAACCTCCGGAAACCCAGGGAAAACGGCCGGTTCTTGGAAAGAACGATGGTTGAAAAGAATGGTTGGAATCAACCCCTAGAATGTTGGGTCCCCTAAAAGGTACCCGGACCCTCAAACTACACAAGAACATATATTACTGCCGTGGAAACATTATGGGGCGACTTCCCTTTGGGGCTCCCAGGCAGCCCCTTTCTTGGGCCAAGCAAAAGGAAAACCAAAATAATTTGTTGGGTCCAACTCCTTAAAAATGCCAAACCCCAATAGGGTTACCCGGTGATTCCGTTTCCCAAAAGGTACAGTAACCAACAGAACCACCATTTGAAAAGAACATGGAAGATGTTAAGGGGGATCCGCTGGGATAAACTTTGTGACCCGCGTCTATAGGAGGTTTACAAGTATGGTTCCGGTGATACACCAATAAGCGTGGTTGTCATGTGTTGATGTTTCTCGCATCGCAGCGCTTGAACCTTCATTTCAGAGTTCTGCTTGTAGCGGGTGGTTCCTTTTCTCGTTTTGAGAAGCTCAAATCACAAACGTTTCAGTGCATGCACACGAAGTACGAGGTGGCAGCTCCAGCTCGGCCAATCGCAACTTCGCAGCACTTTTCATGGAAATCGCCACTGTTCAGTGCGAGTGTAGTACACAAGATGCACTTAGGCAGCTCCAGCAAGGTTAAAGAAAGGGCCAGAGTCTTCAAGCAGCCGTTTGTCTCACTTGTTGTGATCGTTTTCTTATTCTCTGGAACCGTTTTCAAAGAACGAACACCAAAGCTTATTTTGGGGTCCCCTAAAAAGACACACCCAAATCTTCCATTTGCTTAAGCCACCTGCATTGTGTTACAAGGAACGCAACAAGTAGTGATAGATTCCCTTTAAAACCAACAAGGAAAAATCAACATCCTCTTAAGCAAATACAAGAACTAAATCTTGGATTAACAAATTAGCCATTGCTTTCCTCCCGGTGATAACTGCAGGTCTTGTGAAGGTTCACTCACTGCCATCAGGAAGAAGGGTATATAGGGTTGACTCAAAATAGGGAAACCTCCATAATTGGTCTATACCGCATGCCTTTCGATTGAATTCAAGGGGGCACCCCAAAATGCGTGGCTTCTTCGAGCATTGATTGAAACCAGAGCAACTTCAACGCCAACTTCGGTAGCCTGCGCTTTCAGCAGCCCTTCGCCCACCTCTCAAAACCCCAAAACAAGTCAGCTGCCTGATCTTGCCCTTGGCCCAAAGGAGAAGCCCAAACCCTGGACGTGGTTCAGATCCGGAGGTTTTGGGGTCACTGTGGCCATTCGACAGCCTCAGCGTTTTCCCAAGGCCATGCTTAGACCGTCCATTTTTTGTAAAGCTCAGCATCTGAATGTAGGTCTGATTTCTTGGGGCTCTGGTTTTGTTTGGTGGTTTTGAAGGGAAAGCCACCACCACCACTTTTTTGGGGGGGATCCCAGATCCCCTCAAAAAGGACGAGATACTCAGATGTTAAAAAACAGTCCCTGCAATAGTACATGAAGCGCCATTTTCTGGGACGTTGTTGACTGCGCTTGTGAGATCTGAAAACCGAAGAAGAACTTGGCCAAGTGTGCGCACGCGACTTTGCTTGCTTGCCTGCACCAATGACAAAATCAAACACAAAGGTTCACAAGGGTCAAGAAGATCCCTTCACAAATGGCCGTTTGGGGAGGGGTTCCTACTGTTTTGCTGGCGAAGCCGTTGACTCTCTCTTCCAAAACATCATGTGCGATGTCCTCCTCATCGCAGGTGGGGCTGTGCTCTGCAATCCGCAGCAGTCTGCTGTGGAACGCCCGCTTGCCATTCCTCTCCCGCGGCTTGTCAGGCGGCACCGGCATCATCTGGGACAGCATAACACAAAATTTCCGAAGTCCGCACCAAAAAAAGTCCGAGGCTCGAGGCCAAACCGAACGGTCGGGGCCAACCGAAACCCTTGAGCCAAGATAGCGTCGGTACGCAGGTGATGCCACGGACCGGGCAAGGCGGCAAGGCTCATAGGCAGGTTGCTCTCAAATGACGCGTCACTCAAAGCCTCGAGTGGCCATGCCCAGTTCCTTTGCCACTATCCAAGTCGCTCCCTAGGTGTTGGTCAATGCGAAACACTGACTTTGACAACCCCCCAAAAACCGCCAAAAGAATAAGCCCAAAAACAAAAAAAACAGGGGGCGCTCTGGTTTGGTTGACCTTGAAGGCCAACCCCTGACAGAACTTAAGCTCCAAAAAGAAGGGCTCGCCACCCAGTGAGTCGGAAACAAACAGCTCCTGAGGCGGGGTGCGGAGGATGTAGTTGTCAAAGCCCCCCGCATCGTCCATGCTATAGAGAGCGGGTCCTGACACCTGAGACACCGACAAAAATCCGCGGCCTTGGAGAAAGGTGGGAGAGCTACGGATGGACGAAATCCAGTTCGCGCGCCACCGGTCAGAAACCCTTTCTGATGATTCCTATGAGTTAGTACCAAGAAACCATGGGTTCAACCAAATAGATTCAAAGTGGTGCGAAATGGATTTCGTCCATCCACTTCGCAAAGGTACTCGGTGGCCACGCCGTTTGTTTTTTTTTGTTCCCGGTGTGCCGGGGGCAGCGCCCAGGAAGGATCCGCGGGTGGGAGGATCCAGACCAAACCCTAGGCTTCCAAAGGCCATTAAAAGAATGGTCGAGGTCGCTAGACTGTTTTTTGCTGAAAGACCGTTTTTTGCGCCTGGCCCTGAATATTCAAAAAATCCTGGTTTTTGTTGCCCACGATTTGCTTAGGGTCAGGTCACTGACAGTCACACCGCCCTCATCCTCCCAGCTGCAAATGACTGCACCCAAGCCACTCATTCCCCGGCTTGCCAAATGTATGGTCGCATCACTTTTCAAAATCGCCAGGTGTCCCGCCTACCGTATATGCGTGCATAGATTCTTCGCATGTTGGTACTGAAGTCCGGCTTGTATTGAAAATGCTGCAAACTTAGTGGCTTCAGGGCATCGCTGCTGATCAGGCATGCGTGGTGGGCTCCTGGGGGTATGGTTGTCCACGCTTTTAAATGTACTTGTCACGCTAAAAAACGTGCTTTCCATGGTTTGTCCATGGTTTGTCCATGCCTCATTTTCTTTCGAAATCGATTAAACAATCAACAAACAGCACGCGATCAAACTCTGTGGAGCCGTGGACAAGAAGTGGAAAAGCATGCATGGCATGTGAGGGACAAGCCAAACTGACACAGCATGGTGATGGCGTGTGATTACAACGGGATGAAGCAACTTTAACACATACTTCGCTTATTTCATAAAAGGCAGCAATAAAGTTCTTCAACCTCTCACTGTACAGAAGCGCCGGGATGTCAGGAGCCAGCCGTCTTAAGTTGGCCAAGTTTGTCTAGACCTACTTTTAATGGTCGAGGGACATTACTTTTACAGCCTTTCGCTTTTTAAATGGTCGAGGCTATTTAAAGAATAGTCGAGGAAGCATAGGGCAAAGCCTTTGTCATCTAGGATACCTCCCCATTCTGAACCCAGGGATCCGAATCTTTCTAGAAAACTTCCGGAAACCCAAAATAAACGGATCCGGCTTTTGAAAAGAACGATGATTGAAAAGAATGGTTGGAATCAACCCCTAGCAACAGGTACCCCGCTCAAGCCATCGGTGTGGAACTGTTTTGAGAAGCCGAAAGTAGCCTCTTAACGGCTCGAGATCTATTCGGCGTAGCCGGCCAGGGTTGCAAAGGAACGGCAGCCAAGGTTGAAACCCCCAACCGTTCAGCTTGTTCATCTCCAAAATCCCCGCTTGCACTGTCCTAGAAGAAATGGTAGGACCTTCGCAAAAGACGTGGGGCAATGAAATTCGAAGCTTCTCACAAGCGTTCTGATCACATCCTGAAAGAAAAAGAAACAACAGCAAAAGGAGGGGGGCTCGCATAAAAACGAAGCCGAATGAGACATCTCTGACAAATACGTTACAAAACAACACGTCATCAGATTCAGCAAAGAGTCGCAATATGGCGCTTGGTGGTCACTTCACCCGAAACTCGCTTGAGAGGGGCCTCAAAAGGGGGAGGACATGGGTTTGTCTCAAATTCAATCCATTCAAAAGGGGTACCTAGACCAATTTTGGACATTACCCTAAACTACCAAAAAAGGATCTACCATTTTTAGGGTAATGACCAACCATAGTACAAAAGGACCAACCAAACTCAAAACAAAACCAAGAAATCCTGAAGTTGTTTTTTGCAGAGCGGTTTGAGCTCAATAGGGCACCCGGACTCCGCGGCGCTGCTCCTTTCTAAGCCAGCTGCTCGGAGGTTGTAGATGGTGCTGTTCAGGGCGTCGGACTGAAAGTCCTGCACCATGGGGGTGATTTTGAGGGGACGCTTCGTTGTTTTCTTTTTTTTCCTTAAAAGCAGACCAAAAAGGGGTAGCCTCAGACAGAATACACCCACATGTGGCCCAAAATTAAACAGCTGGGACTATGCAGGGTTTAGTCTTAGTGTCCATATATACCAAGGTGACATGTTGGGTACTTTTCTGTGAGCCACAAACATCCGTGCATGTGGTTTTCCTTGAATCAAACCAAAAAGGCGTACCCTCACAAAAGAATACACCGTGTAGGTACACATAGGCAAGACTGTCTACCCGTGGGTGCTTTGTCCCGGCACAGTATTTACCCACATGGCTGTGGCTCAAAAAACCTTTACCAAAATGGAACCCTGGTAAGTGGAAACATGGACCAAAACCTGCGGTTGGCCCCTCCTGTTTAATTTTGAGTCACACCCACATGTTCGCCTCCTTAAATGGGCTATCCATTGCCTAAACATATAGACTTGCGCATTTGGAGGGATGTGGGTAAGTTCTCCCCACATGTGGGGAAGGGGACCCTGTTGTATTGACCCGGGTGCGATTGGGGTTTCTAAAAGGTTCAAAAGAGGCGCAAAATAGACCTGGCTGGAGGTTGGAGAAACTGAAACAGAGTCCTCAATTCTGCCGCTCACGGGTTGCAACAAAAAAGACCAAAGCCCGTTTCGGTGACATTCGGACCTCTTTGCACGGGAGAACATACATGTTCGACAAACTGGGTAAACGGTGCTATCAAGACCAGTAGGTCAGCTAAGAACGTCGAATGATGTTGCTCTTCTTGTGAACGGCCCTGCCCGAAGGAACGGTGCAACTCAACAGCAGGAAAGGAATAATAATTAGCACTTGTTGCTATTGGTGATGGGGTGGGATTGCAATGTTCCTGTGCATAGATGCTGTGCATTTGTTGGCTGGGATGATGTTCACACCCCTCTGCGCGTGGCGTCTAGTTGAACTTGGGGGTGCGTGCAATTCTGATAGGGGGGAACGTCTTGGAATTCGACTGCGCATCTACCGTTTGACCTGGGGAAAGCAACGATGCTGTCGATGGCAGAATCATACAGGCAGCCAAATACACATGCTTCTCCAATACTAATGACTTAAATTGGTCTTTAAAATCATCTTATAGGCCCTTATAATAGATGCAGCAATTCGAACTTGTCCAGTCGCGGGCATCAGCAAAACATGCTTGCTGAACAAGCCCGGGTTGCATGCCGGGTTAGTCTTGTTGTGCGCATGACCCAGACCCACGGACATGTTGAATAAAAAAGCAAGAACGCGCTTGAGGGGTCGCTTAATTGGCTTCCTTTTCGCATCTAGAGCAAAGAATGGTGGGAACCCCTAATTTGGAACCCCCTGGTTCGCAAAATGGCAAGCTCACTCAGGAGGGCGTTTCTCAACTTTCAGAAAGTGGTCGGAGGGGAACAAATTCAAACTGACGGGAAGCCTGCCGGCTATTGTGTGCGCATGCGTACGCATTAGCGATTCGTAGTCTACCTTGTTTTTTGCTTCCCCAAAATGGAACTTAAGCCCAGGGAAATACTGCAGTGTGCCTCTGGGGAATCTACAAAAAGGGTTTGTCCCCCACCCCCCCCCCCCCAAAAAAAAAAGAGAAAGGGACACGGCCTCAAAAAAGACGCGCCAAACGGGAACCAACTGCTCTCAACACCGCGTTTTCGTCCTTCTTGAAGGTCAGGGGATTCATCTTTCTCCTCGTCCATCGCCCGCTCCATCTGGCGAGACGAGTTCGAGGTTCGGCAAAAAACCGTGCTGTTTCTCAGGAAAACGGGTTGGTGCCCCAAATATATGGGGTGATTTCTCTTTTTTAGATGGATAGTTCCATAAACATGGGCTTGTTTTGGGGGTGATTTCTCTTTTTCTGGGTAGTTTGAGGGTGCAGGTGCTCATTTTGCTGGATGTGTTGGACGTCATCTGCACGGTGTTTGTTCACACTGGCTGACCAAAACAAAACCGTAAGGACCCAAACAAGGTCATGTATGACCTGCAAAGTCAACAAGGGCTCAAACAAATCAGGAACATGGCTGTGTTGCTTGTAAGATCCCACTCAGCATACCTTTGAACCTGCTTGGATTGTACCACGACCAACCTATGGAGGGACAGGCCTCGAAAGATACGACCTCACAGACCTGGGCTCATAGAGTGTCCTCTCATTAAACAGGGGGATCCATTTGGGGCTTGATCAACGAGTCCTCATGGGATGACCATTGGTTGGGAACAGCACAAGAAAGTGATAGATACCAGAAGATAGCCTTGCTCATCTGGGGGCCAGGAATATTGATTAATTTTCGGGTTGTTGTTTGGGCGTGGAATTTAGGCCATTGGTCCGCAGATCAATTTACCTCTGAAGCAGTGCCGGCCGCATCTTTCAAGGGGATCGGATGCGCCAGCTCCATTCCCGTGCTTCTGACCCAAGGAATGTTACGAGGCACCTGGTCGGCTCTTGTTCAGGTTGGCCAAGCCCGCCCAAAACGGGCATCTCCAAGGAGGCAGATTTCATTGCTGCCTGAATCATTGAAGGTCATGTTAGGCGGACTCTCCACAAATCCTGTGGTACCAGGGCAACTAAGAGAACCTTTGGGCAAACTTTGCCGAGCCTGCCCTTTTTGTGGCGCGGACTTGTCCTATCGTAAATCAAGGGGTGCCCTTGATTCAGGATTGGTGGTTTGCGGTTTTAACCACTTCTGGTGGAGGATAAATGGGAAACCAAATCACCAATCCGAACCACCAATGTCCAGCACCGCCAACCACTGCTTTTTGGTTGCCGCACCAAGGGGAGTTTGGACTGCAAAAGTAGTTGGAAGGTGCTGGTAGAGGGAAGACTCTTCGAAAACTAGGCGCTGGTGCAGGGTTGGCTCGAGAGATCTGCTGAATAAAATGAAAAGCCGCCCTGCTTAGGTGACCTTCTGGAAAAACAGATGGGTTTCCGTGGCGAATGGGGCGTAAACCCAATGTCTAACCAAACTAACCTACAAAGGACACCTATATGCACCCTTTGACCCACGCACTCCCCTTTTGAGGCTCGGTTGCCAAAAGGTCTCAGAAATCAAAGGATAACTATTTGGGGACCGAAGTTGGAGAAGCAACAGGTCAAAAGGTCGGCTTTAATGCCAACACAAACACAGACCCGTCTGTCCGGTGAAACTCGCCTCTTCACCGTGTAGGCCTTGTAGTCGTCATCGCCCCACAGGGACATCTGGGATGCCGCCGACCTCAAAGCTCGCAAGACGCTGGCAGCATCTGCGTGTGATCCCATAGCCCGACGAACGAACAGCCAGACAAACAGACAGACACACAGGCAGACAGACATACAGACAGAGAGACAGGCCCACACGCGCACACACACACAGGCACACACACACACACACACCCACGCAGAGTGACACACACACACAGGCACACACACACACACCCACGCAGAGTGACACACACACAGGCACACACACACACACCCACGCAGAGTGACACACACACACACACAGGCACACACACACACACACCCACGCAGAGTGACACACACACAGGCACACACACACACACGCACACACACACACACACAAACACACACACACACACACAAACACACACACACACACACACACACACACACACACACACACACACACACACACACACACACACACACACACACACACACACACACACACACACACACACACTCGCACGCACGCACGCACGCACGCACGCACGCACGCACGCACGCACGCACGCACGCACGCGCGCACGCACGCACGCACGCACGCACGCACGCACGCACGCACGCACGCACGCACGCACGCACGCACGCACGCACGCACGCACGCACGCACGCACGCACGCACGCACGCACGCACGCACGCACGCACGCACGCACGCACGCACGCACGCACGCACGCACGCACGCACGCACGCACGCACGCACGCACGCACGCACGCACGCACGCACGCACGCACGCACGCACGCACGCACGCACGCACGCACGCACGCACGCACGCACGCACGCACACACGCACGCACGCACGCACGCACGCACGCACGCACGCACGCACGCACGCACGCACGCACGCACGCACGCACGCACGCACGCACGCACGCACGCACGCACGCACGCACGCACGCACGCACGCACGCACGCACGCACGCACGCACGCACGCATGCACGCACGCACGCACGCACGCACGCACGCACGCACCCACAGACACACACACACACACACACACACACACACACACACACACACACACACACACACACACACACACACACACGCAGAGTGACAAACACACTGACACACACAAACACGCACACAACGCACTATGATATCACACAACACAACGCAACGCAACACAACTCCCCACACACACACACACTCACACAGACTTACTTGAGGGGTTTGGCATTAGTACACAGTCGTAGCCATGGGTATGTTCCTTGCGGCTTGTTCAGCTTGCACATTGCCCAATAACATGGCACAAAAGGGGTGATTTATGCATGATTGACACAGAAGCCGCGTGAAAACACAGGTACAAACAGTGCGCTGGTGTGCTGCAGCAATTGAAGAAAGCTGATGAACACTTTGTTCTCTCTCTCCCCCTCTCTTGTTTACGTGCTCTCCTTATTGTTCTTGTGTTTGGCACGCGCACACACACACACAGATTGTCTAGGCACTGTTGACAAAGGAACAAAGATCATCTCTGAAAAATATCCACTCAAACATAAGCCAACCAACCTTAACCTTGACCTTTTCTCCTTTCTGCCCAGGCCTTTTTCCCTTGAGGGCTCCATGCACAGCCAGAAAAGAAAAGGATAGAATAACACCTCAAACCAGAATGCCTGCTTTTGTCCACAAGAAAGGACACGGGGTTACGTTGGGCGTCCGTTTTCGTATTCACAGATGAGCCTGCCCGGCTTTCCACGTTCGCCCGTCCCGTAGGCATTCCGGCGGGGGTCGGGCATGGGCCTTCACGGGAATGGGCCTGGCGCCGCCCCGCCTTTCTCGGGGTGAACATCCAATCTCACTGCCATGGATTGGCCAAACAAAGTACCACTCAAATGGGTGTGGCTCAAGATTAAACAGGCGGGGCAAACCGCGGGTTTGGTCCATGTTTCCACTTACCTGGGTTCCATTTTGGGTACCGGTTTTTTGAGCCACAGCCAAATGATCTTCCCTGAAGGAAATGCCGGACCTCAAGGATTGGGGGTTGCTGGGCCTATTCAAACCAACCAAAGGCGGCAAGTACGGGGATGATCTTGCGAACGTCCGCATGTCTCGCAAAACCAGACCACAAAAGCTTAAACGAGGGGCCTCAGCCCAATGGTCACTTTACCTTCGTTCTTCCTTTTGACATCCTCCACATAGGCGAAGGAACCAGGCATGTGCCTATTGGTTTTAAAGGGAAACCGTCGCATTTTGAAGTCCTTTTGTGTGACGCAAACTCAGATGGGTGGATGTGAGGCCCAAGAACCTGTCATTGTTCCGCCTTGTTGTTCACTATCGGGGGACTCACCATCAGGGCCCATTCTCTTCCACAGTGAGGCTGGAACACCCCAGTTTCTGATCCTCACTTGCCCAAAGCCTGGAAATCAAAGGCTAACCCCTTGAAACCTTGACAACAAATAGACAACAACAAGATGGAAAACAACATGTCAAATCGTCGAGTTGTGAGGATCTTGCAGCAACCAAAACCAGGGCTCTTGGCACAGTCTTGTCTGGCATGCAGTTTGACAAGCCATTCGTAAAACGCGGCGTGAACATAAAGCCTGAGAAAGCATAGGACTGCTTTGGTATTGGAGGGAATCCCCCTGAATAAAACAAACATATCTCACTCACATCGCACTCCTGTGACTAGGGACCATGCAAGAGTTTCACGAAAAGCCTCCGGTCAAAAGAGATACCTGAAGAGCTTGACATGTTGACAGTGTCACAGCAACAAGTTGCGACAGGGGCAGCGGGCATGGCAAACGCAACGCCGCCAACAGGACACAAACAAAACAACAAAACACTCAAGGTTCTGAGTTCTGAGGATGGTTTTGAAGAAATGAGGCTGGGTCTAGGTACAGTATCTCCTCAGCTGGGTCACAAGCTACTTCGGGTGTTTGAGACCAGCTCTACTTCAGACGCCGTCCTTTTACTCCAAGCTCTCCGACCAGGCCTTGCGGGTTGTGAACCTGGCAGTCGCCTTGCAGGTGGCCAAAAATATAACGGCGCCAAGGCCGAGAAGGGCACTTCGGCCCAGCCAGTTTCGGCCTTTCTCGGGTTGGTAGAACTGAAGGTCCGCCAGAGCGGCGAATTCGGTGCAGGATTTGGGCCCGGCCACGAAGTTGAGCACCGGTTGAAGCTTTGTCGCCTCGGTCGGAGGACCAAGGCACAACTTCCATGTTGGGCCCCCGGCCCCCTGCTGTTGACAAGTGCCCTTGTTCATAAAGGCCTCGCTCTTGATGCCGAAATGCTTAGAAAACTCAGCCCCAACCTTGGGGTCCAAAAAAGAAGTGGCTGGCTTCCGTCACACATGGTCATATGGTCATATAAACAGTAGCCTAGCTTCTAAGACCCCAAGGTGGCCTTCAAGGGAAGTCAACACAACAAGGACACCAACTTCAGGGATGCAATTGAAAGGCACAAACCCCTGTGGCATTTTTTGTTGGCTGCCGGTCAACAAACCACTTTGGGGATTCCTCAATTGAGAGTCGACAAAAGCCGGGGCAGCTTGCTCCATTGTTTGTTTTTCGTTTTTGTTTCCTCGCTTTTTCGCCTGCGCGTCGGAGAGGTGGCAGAGCCGGGTGGGCGTGAAGAAGGAGAAGTGGGCGCAGGAGGAAATCTCCTCGCACCACTGCTGGCAGTGAAGGGCTGAGGCCATTTCCCGAGGCTCCACGTCCTCGGACACGACCACAACTTTGGTCTCAAGATCGGGAAAGGCACCAAGAAAGAATTTGGTCAGGCTTGGATTCCAGGGTAAAAGGCAGCCACCAAAAGGGTACCGGCACGTATATTTGCGTTTGTCTCACAATTCAAGGGCCTCTGCAGGGATTGGTTTTGGAGGTGCGGAGATTGTACACCACTAAACGGGGACTGTTGCAGGCTGTTGGTATACAAGCATATCTCCAAAACCTTTTCCCGGATGTGCCATTGAGAAAATGGCGGGAGTATTGACTCCTATTGATGAAAAAAACCACACCTGTCACAAGGTGGGCGAATGTGGGGACCCGGGTCCCCACGAACATGCTTATAAACCGCGTTTAAGTTTCAACAACCCTCCCCATTGGCTGAACATCTGCAGGTCTTTTTTTTTCAGGGCCAGGGGGCTGGTTCTCGTTTCTAACATCTTTCGCCCAGCCCAGTTGATCTCAGGTGGTCTTTTAAGGATCCGCAAGCAAATCCTTGGTTACCTACCTGAAAATTGGAGTCACTGGGCCAAGAAAAGAAAATCCAAACTCTACATGTTTGCCGCACCAAAATGATTTTTCAACCCCCCCAAAAAAATCTGACGAAATTCGGAAACGGAACTCGTGAAGTGGGACAAGCGTCTTCCAGCAAAGGTTGATATAGCGCATGGGGCGCGTAGCAGTCTTCGTGGCGTTGCGCCAGGAGACGAGTCTCACGGCTCAGAGTTGAGATGTTGCAGGCGGCGGGTCCAGACACCCAACCTCGCGCGACAAGTGGCCTACGTCACGGTGGTTTGGGGAGTGGAAACCTTAAGGGGGTACAGCTTTGGGGCCATGACCTTCTTGGGTGTTCGATTCGCCAAGTGAGTAAGTTGTTGGCAACCTAGGCCCCCTAAGTGTGGTTAACCTTGTTCTTAAGGGGTGAAAACACCCAATTGACAAGCCACTTACTAACCTGGTCAAACATCCAAGTATCCGTGTGATTTTGAGGCGCCCCGGGGTTCGGTTTAAAGGGAAACCAACAGGAAACCCGTCAATTCGGCTGCCCCCACCACATGCTTGACATACCCACATATGATTTATATATATATATACACATATGCACTCACCCTCCCCGGCAAAACCCGCTCCTGCTGCTTGTGCAAGGCAGGTCAGCTCATTTTAGATACATGATACCGAAAGTGGGGACATTTTCCATCGTGGCAGACTTGCCATGATTCATTAAGACTTCACCACCCATTTAGATAGTATGCTCTTGTACTGTCTGAAAAATGCTTGTGGCATTCCTCCTTTTGATCCTTGTTCAATCATTGTATACATTGCTTGGTCATAAACCAAGTCTATGTCAACACAAGTTAATTTGAACATAGCATTAGAAGCAAAGTTAGGTACATTGTAAAAGCGAAGCTAGGTAAAGTGTCACAGTACACAGGGTGTAAGCCATGATATGTCATACATACATCTCTGAAGTATGCAAAATTGTCGGTCAATGATAGAACATCTGCGATAGAAGCCGTGATGTTCTCACATGTGTTGGTGTTTTCCATGTGGCCATCTTGTTTTTCATTGTCTTCATCCCAATGTTATTGACTGGACACATCTCTGGACTCTAGATGTTGAGTCTTGAATCCCGTATGGGCCCCCAAAAACGCTTTAAAGCGCTTTCATCCAGGTAGCTCATAGATTCAGGATTCAAAACAAGTCCTGGGAATCTTGAATCTTGAATCTTAGATTCACAAATGCGTTAAAGCGCTTTAAAGCGTTTTGGGGGCCCATACTGGATTCAAGATTCAAGATCTAGAGTCCTGGGCATCTTGAATCTTGAATCTTAGATCCAAATAAAGCGCTTTAAAGCGTTTTGTGGGCCCCAAACTGGATTCAAGATTCCAGATCTAGAGTTTTGGGAATCTTGAATCTTAAATTTTGGATGCAAACAAGCTTTAAAGCGCTTCAAAGCGTTTTAGGTGGATAGAGTTGCAGTCAAATGCGCAGATGCAGGCATAGGTAGATGGTCAGAATTGGGGTGCCTAAAGACGGGGTGGAAATCACCAAACAGTAGTGTAAATACTGTCAGATTCTCTTGGGGCGTGTTTTTTTGGGGGGGAGGGGTTACCATATGCATATATCTATATATTTCCCTGTAAAACATATCACCCCTACCCATACTAATGACCATGGTCCGTCGCTCCGCAGCCTCCAAGTCTCCAAGCTTTCCAAGCCATGTAGAATCCTGTAGATGTTTGTCACAGGGGCTGTCACCTTTTTTACGGCACCCGTTTGGCGGGCTGCCCTCAGATCCCCCACTAACAGTGACTAATTTTTAGCGGGTTAAATGGAAACTACCACCAAACACTCAAAAACTAAAAGGCTAAGGAACCGGATGGCTGGGAGCCACCAAGTTTTGGTGGGCCCCCCCCCCTGCCCCCCCCGCGCCGTACCGGGCAAACACGGATTTCGGCTTTTGGCGGCGCTTTTGCCGCTTTGGGTCCCCCCGCCTGGCGTCTGCGGAGCCTCCGGTTTGGCCAGCAACGTCAAATGCCCCAGGAGGTGGCATTGACCCCCCGGGCTCCAAAAAGCAAAGGCGGCACAGCCCAACGTCCTGCGCTGAAGGCGCGCCCACGCCAAGTCCGCTTCGCCCCAAACCGGGTCCCTCTAACCAAAGTTTCTACTTGGATCCGAGGTTTCCAGTAATCTCGAAAGTGACAAAATAGGGATGACCTCGACCCAAAGTGCGGGTGTTCACCCAAAGTCGCCACAGACGCATAGGTGACCTTTTGGAAGAATAGATGGGTTTCCCAGCCATATGGGGCATAAAACCAATCTACACCAGCAAACAAACCTAAAAACAGGTGTCCCTGGATTTTCCCAAATCAGCAGTTGATCAAGTGGTCCCGCTGTCCCTTGAAACCATTGCTTGTGAAAATTCCCTCTAAAGAAAAATGACTCTCAACCCCTGAACGCGAGGACACAGATACACAACTCCCCCCCCAAAAAAAAAACCCTCCCGTTCGACCGCGGAGCGCGCGAGCTCCTGGCGCAGCGCGCTTGGCACTTCCCGGCGTCCTCCTCCAGAGAGACCTCCTCCCCCGCGACGCCGCAGCGAGCGCTCAGGGCCCAGGCACCCTCTTCCAAGCACGGCGGCGCCTGGCCGCCGAAGAGAAGACGAACCCGGCAACACATCAGGAATCCATGCTGTTCACCTTGGGGTGGAGGTTCTTTTTTTGTTTTAATAATGGAAGGCGAAACCAGCGTTCTAGGGCTTGATTCCCTTTCCATTCTATTCACCCATCGTTCTTTTTAAAAACCGGATCCGTTTTCGGGTTTTGGGTGGTTTTCTAGACCAGAGAAACACATCAGGAAAATGGACAACATCCGGCACCAAGTTAAAACCAGGGGAGAATTATGTGTTGGTATTTCCATGCTGTGGATGGATGAAATCCATTTCGCACCACTTTGAAACCATGGTAGAAAACCTTGTTTGTCGGTATTTACAAGAAATCAAGGAAGGAGGATAAATAATCAAGGAAGGAGGAAGCAGAACTCAATGATCATAAGCCCGTAACACATATCCTATGACACATCGACGAAGAGGAAAGGGGGGAGTAGGGAGAAGGGACAGCGGGGAGAAAGCAAGCAGAAAGGAGGCGCAATAAGGAACATACATACAGAAGGAATTTGGGCAAAGACACGACAACATAAGGGAAAACAACGGAGGAATAAAGAAGGCACAATGAAGAAGGAAGAAGGAATGCATATATATAATAAATATATATATATATATTATAATATATGTGGAAAGGAAGAGGGAAGAAACACTAAAAACAGATGCACAAACAATAGACGAAAACAATAACACAACATGTGGAAATATACTAGAAGCAAGAAGGAAAAGAGCGATAGACGAAAAAAGAGGAGAGGAAGACAAAATAATAAGGATAAAGGACCAAGAAAAAGGACAAGGGCAGCGGGGCTGAAAAAGAAGAGGCTACAAAGCTTTTTGAGGGAAAAAACAAGTATAGCTGTGGGAAATGGAGTTGTTGGTTTTGTGTCGCTATCGACCCCTGTGCAAAAAGCTTCACTTTTGCCGCTGGGAAGCACACACCTGTGCCCACAAAGTCAACCCAACCAAATGGCAGTTAAGAAAAGACCAAGGCTCTGAGAAACTCCGCGCCCGCCTGGACTCTGCCTGTCCCCAGGAACTCGCCGGCAACCGGAGCGACGGGACGTCGTGCCGCGCTGTGTGGCTTGGCCGCCGTCATGTTCCTGACAGCTTGTCAGAAGTTCTGGACCCCGGAAACCCCGACCAATTTTAGGTCAACACCAGACCACGGCCCCGAGGAATCATGGAAGGGAACAGCTGGGCAGCTTGAACACGAACGTCCAAGACCCTGGAGGCCAACTCTTCATCACTTCACTCCAATTTTGCTTTGCCACATTCGCCCAGGGAAACTAAAAAGAAGATCAAAGTCCCAACGCACAAAGCACCAACCGTCCAGGGCATCTGGCATTGGCTCCCTGAAACCTGTGCCCGAGGGACCTAAACATCGTGCCTGTAGCAGATGTCCGTTAAGTCTTGGCATGAGCTGTCAGCACTCATTCTGCTTCTCCCAAATGACATTGGATTTGGGTGAGAAACACCAAAACTTCCAACTCTTCATGTTGGCATCCTTTTGCGAGGGTGCACTCTGTCATCGTCTTTGCAATGGCCGGTTTTATAGTGGCCATTGCTCATGCGTGGTCCACCTTGCAGCGTGGTGATTGGTTCATGCCCAGACGCTCGTGGGCCCTCCCACGCAGGGTCCGGGGCCCTCCCAGGGAGGGACCGGGCTGTTTGTCGGATAGGGGGCCCTCGTGGGCCCCCAACCGTCGGATAACCGTCGGATAACCGTCGGATAACCGTCGGATATTTGGGCCGGGGCCTGGGTCTACGAGGGCCCGGCGTCGGATAACCGTCGGATAACCGTCGGATAGCGAGGGCCCGCGAGGGGCCCGAAACATAAGTTGGGAGCGTCTGGGTGGGATCAATCTTCACATTGTGAGGCCTGCAACGAATGCCATTTAAGTTTTGTTGTTTTCTCCGGATTGATGTCTTCGGGGCGCCAAGTGGTACCCCTCATTTGTGCTCCACAGAACATATCAAAGCTGTCTGTTGGCCAGGGTGGGTCCAACATCGACAGAATATCACGAAGTCAAAACCTCTCCCAAACTTCCAAATAAGCCACTATAGTACGCAGCCAGGGGAACCATCATGTAACACCTGGAGGTCAGGATCGCTGGTTGCCTAATACAGTGGCGAAACGCCTGGACGCGCTGGGTTGCTCACTCAAGAGCTTGAAGCTCTTCACCCGCTCTGAGCCCTCAGCAGACCTACAAAGAGCCCAAAATGGGGGAGAGACCGAACAATTCCCCATTTCATGAAGCAAGGATTGATTTGTCTGGGTTTATCACCACGTCCAGGGACACTTTTAGAGCCTCCCTTTGAGGCTTCCAGCCCAGTGCGGCTCACTTCCGATCGAGTGGACTGCACCTGCCACCACAATGGTCCAAACCAACTAAAAGTGACGGTCAAGTACAAGAACCCAGAGAGCGAGTTGCAGCCATTTCGGGTACCCGGACCCTCAAACTGACCGTAAAAATGGGTGAGTGCCCCAAAGTTATGTCACTTCCCTTTTTTTATAGTACTTTTTTTTGAGTGTGTGTTTTGAGGGTGCAGCTAGAAATGATCTCAAATCGGTGGCCCCAAAGAAAAGGGACAGGACATGCCCCCGCCTCACGAGCTCCTCGGCTGCGGAGCGGATCTCCAGAGTGGCCGGGCTCTCGCCGCTCCGCAGCCACTCGGCAGTTGTATCCGAGAGGTTGTAGCCCAGCTGGAGCCAAATCCTTAGTCCCGAAAACCAAATTCTCCGGGCGCAACCGTCCTTTAAGGACGGAAATATGGGACAACCCATGAAGAACCTAAGGGACAAATACTCCTGAGGTGAGTCAGAATCAAAACCCGGTATCTGTGAGGAAGGGAGGTAAATGCCTGAGGTGAGCATGTATGCCTGACAACCCGTAGCCATCGATGAGCCAAATCCTCTGAGTCACTTGCTCAAAACCCGGTATCAAGATGGTCGTAATCCCAGAGCCATGCTTCAAGAATTAAGAAGGCGGAACTCCACACAGCAATTTATGGTTGGGAGTATCCCTTACTAACGTTCATCTACCCGGGTTTTGATTGTGGCTCAGGTGCCCCACTGAACGTGATTTGGATTGGTGGGAACTGGTAATTTGGATTTGAACCCCTGGCTGTTGGTCCACCAAACCACCAAACCACAGGGCTCCAAACCGATCAATTGCAGGTGAGCTTTAATCCTGGATGGACAGGTAAGTTGAGTCGGTCAGGGGG